TACAAGCATCTGTACGTCTGATACACCTCCTGGGATGACTAAACCACTCCATCAACAACTGCTTTGCTCCATCAGCACCCAAAGATCTGAAGACAAGGACAAGTCATGGCCCTGCAACATGTCTTTGTCTTGTGAAGATGAGTATGAAGAGCAATACTCTGAAGATGAAGAGTATGGGTTGTTTGTAGAAGATCCAAACGCAGGATATTCCTCAGAAGACGGCTCAGGAGAAATTCAATGGATCACCAACAACATCAGTAGAGAAAAACTAATGGAGTTCAACTATGTGGTCAGGTCATTCCCTGCTCACCTAAGCTTTGATGAAATTTGGAAGCTTGGTCGTTTGCAAGTCTTTTTCAGGTACTGCAAGGAGTCTAAAGAGGATATCCATAGATACTTTATGAGAGCTCGATACATGACAACACCAGAAGCAGCTGTCTATGCGATTCACCTCAAAAAGCCCGAAGACTGCAGCCACTACACCAACAAAATCAGCAAAGAGAAGCTCGACGAATTCAATGATGTGGTTCGAAATTTGCCTGAAAGAATCACCTTTGCCAGAGCTTGCAAAGACTTCATGATAGGCCATTACTTCTGTGAGAGTAAGGAATCAATCCCTGAGATAGAAGACTTGTTCAATCATGCCAGAAGAGGTAAACCTGTTCGAACACTTCACAAAATCAAAGGTGTAGGTCAATTTCTTATCTCTTGTTCTATTAGAGGAGAAATGTTTAAAAACGTGTTATGTGATTCTGGAGCTTGTCTTAACATGATGTCCAAGGCAATTGCTTTGAGACTTGGTATCAAACACCTGCGCAGGACTAGAGCAAAGATTAGTCTAGCTGATGATTCAAATGCAACACCTCAAGGAATAGCTCATGAAATTCCCTTGAGAATAGGAGATTGCATAGTGTCTGTCGACTTCTACATTGTCGAGACGAGAGATGCAACATATCCAGTGATTATCGGATGGTCTTTTCTAGCAACTTCCGGAGCTATAATGGACCGACCAAACCGGAGGATTTCATTTGCTAATATCGACAAAGATGTCTTCACAGAAGTTGTCCCATACAACAGCAAAGCAGGAAAACGTTCTGCAACAGAAGAGTTTGAAGAAGAACTTTGGAGTGACGAAAAACCTGCTAGGCAAAGCAAGGAGATGTCGAAAAAGACTTGTCTCAGGACAAGGTCTTCTTCATTGGAATAATCCACGTCCAACACCAAAAGTCGAGCTAAACGACTTAAAAAAAAAGCGCTTAATGAGAGGCAACCCATTTAGGTATTGTTTTCTTTAGGATTTTTCTTTCTTTTTCTATTGATCTTTTTCTTTTTCTTAGTCTCAGGTGTTTCTTATAAAACAAAAAAACCAAAAAATTAAAAAAAAAACCCAAAAAAACTAAAAAGAAGGATGGTACCTGACTGCTCGGCCCAGCAGGAACCAAGAAGAAGCAGGAAGAGGCCGCGAAATAAGCCCCCGCGGTCGCAGACGTTCTGACCGCAGGAAACGCCTCTTCGACCGCGGTTGCGTGTTTCTGACTGCGGCCAAGCACCTGTTTACCGCGGTCGCGTGACCCTGACCGCGGGAAATGGTCGTTGAGATCAAACCCGACCCCAAACCACCCACTTCACCTCATTCCACCTCACCAATCCCCACTCCACCTCATTCACCACCCTCCACCACCTTCATCACCACCTATCACCTTCCCAAACCTCTTCGAATGAATCCGGTTCATCTCCACCAGCATCCCGGATCCAGGTAAGTTCTCTTTGGCCTTACCAATTCGATTATCTATGCATTTTTCTCATCCAATCTCGACTTGTTTCACACTGAGGACAGTGTGATTTAAGTCTGGGGGAGGATTTCATCCCTTTCTAACCACTTTTCTTTCATGAGTCTTGCATTATCTACACTTTCTGCATTTTCCTTAGAGTTTTTCAAAATCGGTTTTCAAAACAAAATACGTTTTAAAGGGAATGGTGAACATGAATCAATGATAGTTGACTGTGTGCTTTAGACTGTTCCTAGTGACATGCTCATTCATGATTTAGGACTAGACTAGGCGGTAGCTAAGCACATTTGAAATGAAGTACCCCCAGAGGAATTTGAATGATTTCGATTTAGATGAAGGAATACACTAGCTCTGTTTTATTTGGACTTAATTTGGACTTAATTTTCTCATTGAAGCTTTAGACCAGGGAAACGAATCATACATTCAGGACTCCTTTATCCTTTTACCACTCTATGTTGATCCTGAATGGCTAGTTCATCTTTAGCTAGTTCCCCACCTTAACCAATCCTCTTTCAAACCACATGCACTCTTGTTTTCTGTTGTCTTATATGCAGATAAGTGCAAAAACGTTGGAGAGAAAGAGGAAAGACGCAGTTTTCAGTCACCAAGGATAGAGACCTGCGATTTGCCGGAAAAGTTCCCGGAAGGATTCAACACAAGAGGAAGCTCAGTTTGCCTTAGAAAAATCTCAAATTTTGGTACAATCTCGTCCTCTAGTCTCTCTCTCTTTAAAATGCATTTCCTTTTCAAAAAAAAAAAAACAAAACAAAAATCCAAAAATAAGAAAAGAAAGGAAATAAAAGCCTTAGAAAGTCTAGAGAGGTCGAATTTTAAGTCCCAAGGAAACTGGAGTCTGATTTTATGGAGTTTTGGAGATCATTTTCTGATTCCCGGAAAGAATCTAAGTCAGGGGGAATAGCTGTTTACAACAAAGGAGGAAGGATTATGCAACAACATTTGGCAAGAAGAAGTGACTGAAAATTGCGGTCATCAACAGGTCCTTATCTCTCTTGCGGTTTTGCATATTATCTCGCATCCTCCATATCTTCAGGTAACCCAAAATACTTTAACTCCACCACTTAAACAGCCCTTTAATGCCAAACGCCGTCTACCCTGATGATGTCTTTAATGGGAACTCACTATTGAACTTAATAAATGTAGAGAGCTAGTTGACTAGAATCAAGATTTAGATTGTTTAAGTTTTGCATGACGAAAAAAGTGGACTAGTATCTCTTGTGCATTGGCGAGAATTTTCTAGACTATGTTGTGGATTGATGCACTATCTTTGGTCCTAGTTTAGGAGTTCATGTCTCTAAGATTTGTGCATTCCCTATTTTTGTTTTCACTTAACCAGTTTAGGCTTTTGCTTTGTTTGAGGACAAACAAAGGTTTAAGTCTGGGGGAGTTGATAACACCGTATTTTGACCATTTTTATGGATCGTTTTGAAATATTTTTTCTATGTTTTTAATTGCTTTCAAGTACTTTTATTACGTTTTTCTAGTATTTGTAGTTCCAAGACTCTTTTCAGGTAACAAAAGGAAAAGCTTAACAAAATGGATAGAAAACCAGATTTCAGCTCAGAGTCAAACCGTCAGAAGTTCACCCCTGATTGAAGGCCTTCTCACTGTCTGATCCAGCTCAAATTTGGAAATCTTAAAGATGGAAGTATCAGCTTTCCAGCACACTTTACAGCTTGGCAATCCAACGGTTCAATCAAAAGATACGCGAAGAGCAAGATCTCCCGTAAACCAGCCAGCAAGCATTTCCACCCGCGGCCAACAGACCAATCCCCGCGGTCACAACCGCCGTGAACGCGGCCAGCCACCCGTTTCCTGCGGTCACAGCAATCCCGACCGCGGCCAACTACCTTCGAGCCCGAAGGCCCATTTCTGAAGCCCAAAATGATTCCCTCATTTGGAGAAATAGTGATGCCCAAAGATGTCTTGAGCACTATAAATACATGTTTTAGGAACCCTAATTCGTATGCCTTCATATGTTCTTATTGTTGTAGAATACTTTTTAAGTTTTAGGTTTTAGGGAGAGAGAGATTTGTCTCTTGAACCCTTGTTCTTTCTTTTTCAATTTCGGTTTCTATTCTACTTTTTAATACTATATTTTTGATTTCGTTCATCATGTCTGAACATATACTATACTATAATACTATATGTTCTTTATTGTTGGGATTAAGGGATTTTCGATGGGGATTTATATGTTCGATGAGGATTCCATGAGCTTTTGAACCGAATCTTAGAACTTTTTCTTCTGAATTCGTTTTTACTGACATGAGATTAGCGTCATGAACTACAATCTGATCCAGAGGCTTGGTGACACGAACGTGTTCATCCGGTGTCAGATCTAGTTTGGGAGAGCAAAACAAACATAGGAGTGGAAACCTACCTATGAGCGATTTGTGAATGCTGACGAGTCTTAAACATAATGCATCTCTTCTTTTCCAGGGCCAGAGTGGAAACCTACTGGTCAGGGTTGAGAGAGATAGTTGTCTATGATCACGACAGTGGCGTATTCATACGTCCATGACTCCAGTTCAAAAAGTTTAAGCTAAGATCTTATCAATTTTACTCTCTAGCAATGTTTTGAATCGTTCGTACCCCTGAGAAAACTTCCCTGAACCCCAACGCTTTCTTCCTTATAGATTCACACCGTTTTTATTTCAAGCTTTAGTTCAATATTCTCATTCCTTTTTAATCGATTTTCATTTAAGCAATTAGATTAGCCGTTTTCCCGTTTTTACCCGTTTTCGTTAAGTTTAGTTATTGGGTCATTTTAATTACCGTATTTTCTCTTTAAGATTCGTTTTTACATTTTAAACACACCACCAAAACCCCCACAAAATCGTTTGGTTCTAGACTTCCTTACTTTATATTTCTTTCGAAGGCTTTTGCAGGAAAGATCCTCCTTCCCTGTGGATTCGATCTCTAAGTACTACAATCGATCAGCTGTGCACTTGCGGCTATTGATTTCATTTAGGGTAAAACTTGACAACCCTCACGACAGCACACATCAGCCTGTCCATTCAATGTCATGCTTTAAGATCCCTGCTGGAATTGTTCAAGATATTACAAGTACTCTATCCAAATTCTGGTGGGAGAAAGATCAAGATAGACGTGGCATTTCATGGGTTGCGTGGAAGAAATTGCAGAAATCTAAACAAGAAGGTGGTTTGGGTTTTAAGGATCTAGAGAAATTCAATGACGCACTTTTGGCTAACACAAGCGTGGAGACTCTTTAACTATCCTGATACCCTTTTTGCAAGATTGTTTAAAGCTAAATACTATCGGGATGTTTCACTCTTGGGTGCAAGATCTCAGAAGTACCAATCCTATGGCTGGTCTTCTATTCTGGTGGGATTAGAGCTTTTAAAGAAAGGCATACGGTTTAATGTTGGTTCCGATGAAGATATCAGAGTTTTCCAAGACAATTGGATTCCAACAGATTCTCCTAGGCCTGAAAATGGCTTATTAGAGTCTCCTTTGCTTGTGTCTGATCTCATTGTCTCAAGAAGGGATTATAGGAAATGGGATGAAGATCATCTTCAACTACTACAGCCAGAACATAGATCACAAATTAAATCCATGTTTTTAGCAGGCTCTGGACAAGGACCAAATCATTTGGCATTACACCAAAAATGGTCAATACTTGGTTAAAACATGGTACTATTTGACGAGGAAACTGGAAGATCCTGACAACAATCTGATTCAACCTCCTCATGGAGATCCTTTTCTAAAACAAAAGATTTGGAATCTTCCAATTTTCCCAAAGTTGAGGCATTTCTTATGGCGTGTACTATCCAAAGCTCTGGGGACTTCAGAACGGCTGATTAGACGAGACATTCCTGTTGATCCTACTTGTCAACGCTGTGGTTTGGCAGATGAAACTATCAATCATCATTTCTTTGAATTTCCAGTGTCACATATAGCTTGGAGATTGTCTAAAATACCTATATCGTGTTTACTTCAACCATCTCAAGATCTGGAGGATAACATCAAAACACTTCTGGATTTTCAGTCTGCAACAGGCTTAACAGAATATCAAAGACTTCATCCCTTTTGGTTGATGTGGAGGTTATGGAAATCCAGAAATAACCTCATTTTCAAGAAGAAGATTCCAAACCCAGCTATGGATGTATCTTTAGCTATGGCAGAGGTGAATGAATGGTTGAAATCCCATCAGGTACAAGGGTCAACTAGCTCTCCAAATTAGTCCTCTAGGAATCCCGCAACATCTCGGGTTTTTGCTCAAATTAGCCCTTGGAAGCTTCCACCAGCAGGTTTTTATAAAATACAATTTCGATGCTGCTTTTAATCCCTCCTCACAGGCATCCTCTGGTGGATGGGTTGTCAGAGATAATACAAGAAAACATATTTTCTGGGGAGCAATAAATCTGGGGGATTCGGTTTCTGCCTTGGAGGCTGAAGGAAAAGCTTTACTCACTGCTATGCAAAACTCCTTCATGATGGGCCTTCATGATGTTATTTTGAGGGGATTGTTTGAATCTCATTCACAATTTGAATGGCTGTGAAAAAGACTACTCCATCCACAATCTCTGCAATGACATCTTAAGTTGGAGTGGCAAATTCAATCATGTTCGCTACACGCATGTACCTCGCCAAGGCAACTTTCCCGCACATCATTTAGCCAAGTCATTTCCTTTGGATTCTGTATTTTATTCAAGCTGTTTAAATCCTCCTGTTTGGCTTTCATGTTTGTTTCATTCGAATTATGTAAAGTCTAACTCCATTAATTAATAAAAGCATATATTTTGGCGGGAAAAAAAAATCCATTTGGATTTCTTGCAATGAAGATGCTCTCAGTACAGCGTTTTCAAACATCTTCTCGGAATAAGCACCAAAACTTTTGCAAAATTTGTTAAATTTCAGACTTTGCAAGTAAGAGATAAATCCAAATGGAGCGAGAATTAAAACATTTGGTGAGAGACTCAATCACTCAAACCAAAATTTTCTTTGAAACAAATGGGATTCTTCTACGGGCAACCGAATTAAAAAAAAAAAAAAAAAGAGAGAATAAGTTGTGCGTGAGTAATTTGATATTTTAGGTGTGAATGTAATTTTAATGTTAAATTATTTTGTTTTGATATTTATCAGGTTTTTCTAATATGTATGTTGAGTTAATCCAGGATGAAGTTAATTAATAGAATGTGTCATTTCATTTTTCATAAATATTAACATGTCTTCCTGAAAGAAAAAAAAAAACCCCCATATTTGGCCTTCTTTGATATTGATGTGCTATTGTTTGGTCTAAAATACTTCAAAGACCGGCCAATGTTGCTGCAAGGAATCTAAAACGTCTTTCATATCCGATGATACCAATGTACTCATTATTAATTAATTTCTCATTTCATATTTTATTCTCTATTATAAAAACAATTAACATATATCAAGATATGTTTCGATATGGACATATTCTCATACCAATAACGCAATTGGTTTTTAAAAAAGTCTAGTTTTAAACGATCTACATTACTTAATTCGTTATGTAAGACATTTTATTTATTCCCTCGTACTTATTTCAGACTTTTTATTCTTGGTTTACGAGTATGGACTGCAACAAAATTATTTTTACATTTAATACCCAAGAAATTAGTACCTGAACTGCAAGTTCTGGTACCGATTAATACCCAAGAAATTTTGCTGTGCGAACGAATACCTCAACTCGTATATGTTGGCGAAAACGTACCTATACTATGACTTTTTGGCCGTTTAATACTTTGACCAAGTTTCCGTTAGTCAACCCCGTCAATTTTTAAACAGGGTTCTCTCTAATGCCATGACGACTTCCACGTCACCAAACCGTTATAGATATTTAGAAAACGATGTCGTTTTGGAATTCTGGGAAAAAAAAAATAAGTTAAACGACGTCGTTTTAACTTAAGGAGAACAAAAAAAAATTAAGAAAACGACGTCGTTTAGAAATCGACCCAGAGTTAAAACAAAATCGGGTCTTGGTCTTCTTCTTCCTCGAGGCGACACCTGAATTGGGGAAAAACAACAGCTTGGGTTTAGGGTTTTACTGCAATTGTGGAAGAAGCACTGGCCAAAATAGAAGCTGGGTAGTAATTCAACAGAATTCGAAGTTGAGTGGCTAGGGTTTAATCCAAATTTCGTTAAAAATGAGGTAAAGGAAAAGTATTATGAATTTGATTTTACTTGTTTATTGTTATTGTTTTTGATTTCTTTATTGGCTCTGAATTGTTTAATCTTTATCAATATTAAAATCGTCTGAAGGCAATAGTCTATTTTTTTTTTTTCAGTGGTGGTGATTGTATGTTTAACATATATCACGGGGGAAGGTTTGAGAAATTGGAAAATGGGAGTGTCTATTACCACGGTGATTCGATGTAGGAGCTTATTACACCAGCGGAGACATTTTTCCAAACCGTACCTGTAAGTCTGTATGGGCAAAGAGTGTGGTACAAATTGCCATTTGAAGAGTTGAGTGAGCTGAAGATATTGTGTGAGGGAATTGGGAATTTTCAAAAAATGTGTGATGCGGCTAAGTGGACTAATGTTGTTGAGATTTACATGGAAAGTGATGAAGAAAGAGATGAAGATGGCGATGGAAGAGATGAAGAAAGAGATGAAGAAAGAGATGAAGAAAGAGATGAAGAAAGAGATGAAGAAAGCGATGAAGAAAGAGATGAAGAAAGAGATGAAGAAAGAGATGGTTCCCGAGATAGAGATGCAGAGCAGAGACATGAAGAAGAGATGTGTGCTGAGCAAGATTGTGTGGAAGCTGTGGTAGCCACATTTGTGGATGAAGAAGAGAATGATGAATATGGGAAACAAACTCCTCCAGTGTCAGACACCGAAGAAACAGATAACATGAGACACTGTTATGAGAATTGGATAAGAGGAAGTGGAGAGTTGAAGATAAGTCAGGTGTTTGAAAGCGTTAAAGAGTTCCGAGAAGCAGTTTTGGAGTATGCCTTGAAAGGGGGTTGGAACATCAAGTATACAAAAACAGCAGCGAAAAAAGCAGAGGCTAAATGTGGCATAGATAAATGCAATTGGAGAATCTATTGCTCCTATGAAGAAGCAGTTTCCGGGTTTATGGTTAAGACATTTCAAGAGGTTCATACGTGTTACAAAGATCAGCGGTGTAAGATACTCTCTGAAAGTGTCATTTGCGACATGTTCATTAATGAGCTGAGAGAAGATCCTAAACTGAAGCCGATGGTGATGCAAGAAAGGATACTTGACCGCTACAATGTGGCTCCTTCCCATGACCAATGTCGAAAAGCCAAAAAAAGAGCTTTGGCATTAATTGATGAAGAGTATGATGAACAATTCTATAGAATTCAAAGAAGTTTAAGAACACAGATTTGTAAAAGAATAACTCTCTTTTATTAACCTTTAGAAAAATCACTCAAAAACTAAAGGCTCTCAAATCTCTCTCTCTCAACTCATAAGTATTTGCAACAACTCTGCAACTCCTTATATAGAGAATGAATTAGCTAACTCCTAATTCCAATAGATAAACAAATTTCCTTTAGATAACTCCTAAATTTCCTTTTAGATAACTCCTAAATTTCTTTTTCTAATCCTAACCTTCTAGAAACACACTTTGATTAGGATTAGGAAACTTGCACTTCAAGTTTCTTTCAAGCTTATTCCAACAATCTCGCCCTTAAGCTTGAAATCTTCCTTAGAGACATCTTCAACACCAAAATTGAGAATTCCACGCAAATACCTCAAAACCTGCTTTAATGCAGCTCCATGCGACTCCTCCATGATTACTTTATATAAACGATTCTTTGATCTGTTTGCCTTCATAAGGAGTCTTCCATCTTGATCATGTAATGTCAGATAATCTCCACTCATCCGAACATCACATCCAGCCTCTGTTGCTTGTCCCAAACTGATAATATTACTCTTTAAATCTGGTATGAAATAGACATTAGCAAGAACTTTTTTCCCTCCATCTTTACTGACAAAGAGGATCGATCCTTTACCCTTTATGTCTATCTGAGAGTCATCGCCGAATCTTACTTTTCCTGTGACCGTCTTGTCAATCTTTGAAAAGTAATTTCGGTTTCCAGTCATATGGTTACTAGCACCATTATCCAAATACCAAACATTGTCTCCTTCACAGCTTTTTTCAAATTCGTTTGGCTTCACCCTTTTTTCATTCAGATACACCACCTCGTGCATCATGAGTCGTTCAGCTTCATGTGTGTCATCAACGTCGTCGTCTTCCTGAGTCTCTTGAAGTTTGAGAAGTCTGTCAGGGCAATTAGAAGCGTAATGCCCTGTTTTGTCGCATCGATAGCATGTTATCTCTGACAAATCTCTGGCTCCATTGAATCGTCCACGACCTCGTCCTCTGCTATAGAAGCGTCCTCCTCGACCTCTGCCTTTATTCTCTCCACTGTAGTCACGATTTTCCTGAGGTTCCATGTTTGCGTACATGAGCTTGCTTTGATCATCTTGCGTTTCTTCTTCTTCTTCTTCTTGAATACGTTCTTCGTAGGCTTTTAGTCTTCCGACTATGTCTTCGAAGCTTGTGGTGTTCAAGTCTAACACCTGCTCAAGTGAAGCTACCATGTGTATATATTTCTTTCTCGGAAGACTTTTGAGAAACTTCTTGACAATCTTTGGTTCCTCAATAGTCGTTCCTAAAGCAGCCGACCTTGAGCAGATTTCGGACAATTTTCCACTAAAATCATCTATCGTCTCTGTGTCCTTCATCTTGAGTTTGTCAAACTCGGCCATAAGAGTCTGCAACCTTGCCTCTCGTACCCTTTCTGCTCCTACATGTCTTGATTTGATTGCATCCCATACCTTTTTCGCCGTGTCTAACTTTTCTACCTGTAGAATGAGCGTCTCGGGTACTGATTGAAAGATCAGGGCCATAGCAACATCGTTCTTCTCACCATCGGCCGCATCTGTTTCAACAGTCTCCCAGACCTTGTGTACTCTGAGCAAAACCCTCATCCGCATGGCCCATACGGTATAGTTGGTTGAGTTTAACATAGGGCAATGGATTGAGGAAGTATTCAGTGCTTTTGTACGAGTAATAGGAACGATATCCCCATATCTTGAGCAACAACCTGAAGCTCTGATACCAATTATAGAATTCAAAGAAGTTTAAGAACACAGATTTGTAAAAGAATAACTCTCTTTTATTAACCTTTAGAAAAATCACTCAAAAACTAAAGGCTCTCAAATCTCTCTCTCTCAACTCATAAGTATTTGCAACAACTCTGCAACTCCTTATATAGAGAATGAATTAGCTAACTCCTAATTCCAATAGATAAACAAATTTCCTTTAGATAACTCCTAAATTTCCTTTTAGATAACTCCTAAATTTCTTTTTCTAATCCTAACCTTCTAGAAACACACTTTGATTAGGATTAGGAAACTTGCACTTCAAGTTTCTTTCAAGCTTATTCCAACAAATTCCGCAGGATAAAAGATTACAGAGATCAAATTCTAGAGTAAGCATTTGTCTCTGTAAGTAATTTACACTTTAATTTTACATAAGTTTTTAGAGCTAAATTCTGGTTTTTTTATAACTCAGGACAAATAAAGACTCAACTGTGGAGGTTCGGACAGTGATTGGAGACAATGGGAAAGAAATATTTGATAGTTTCTACATGTGTTTTAGGTGTCTTAGAGATACATGGAAGAAGTATTGTCGACCAATTTTTGGAATTGATGGTTGTTTCTTGAAGTCTCACACCAAAGGTCAGCTTCTAGCAGCTGTCGGACGAGAAGACTGTATTGAATCCATAAACTTACCTGAAATTCGTGAAGAATTGTTTGAATTCGCTTATGTAGCCATTTCTTTCTGATTTGCAGAAAACCCTAAACCCTAGCTGTTGTTTTTCCCCAATTCAGGTGTCGCCTCGAGGAAGAAGAAGACCAAGACCCGATTTTGTTTTAACTCTGGGTCGATTTCTAAATGACGTTGTTTTCTTAATTTTTTTTTGTTCTCTTTAAGTTAAAACGACGTCGTTTAACTTAGTTTTCCAGAATTCCAAAACGACATCGTTTAGTAAATATCTATAACAGTTTGGTGACGTGGAAGTCGTCGTGGCATTAGAGAGAACCCCGTTTAAAAATTGACGGGGTTGCTAACGGAAACTTGGTCAAAGTATTAAACGGCAAAAAAATCATAGTATAGGTACGTTTTCGCCAACGTATACGAGTTGAGGTATTCGTTCGCACAGCAAAATTTTTTGGGTATTAATCGGTACCAGAACTTGCAGTTCAGGTACTAATTAGTCGTTTTCCCTAGAATGTGTCATTTCATTTTTCATAAATATTAACATGTCTTCCTGAAAGAAAAAAAAAAAACCCCAAATTTGGCCTTCTTTGATATTGATGTGCTATTGTTTGGTCTAAAATACTTCAAAGACCGGCCAATGTTGCTGCAAGGAATCTAAAACGTCTTTCATATCCGATGATACCAATGTACTCATTATTAATTAATTTCTCATTTCATATTTATTCTCTATTATAAAAACAATTAACATATATCAAGATATGTTTCGATATGGACATATTCTCATACCAATAACGCAATTGGTTTTAAAAAAAGTCTAGTTTTAAACGATCTACATTACTTAATTCGTTATGTAAGACATTTTATTTATTCCCTCGTACTTATTTCAGACTTTTTATTCTTGGTTTACGAGTATGGACTGCAACATAATTATTTTTACATTTAATTATTAAAAAAAAAAACAAAAACCAATTTGAACATTTTTTTAAAAATGTTGTTGTTTCAAAATCTACGTTGCACGGAATCGCTCGAAAAGCTACGATTCCCGTTTTGGAATCGGAATCGAAATTGGAATCGCATGAAATCAATCAGAATCATTAGGGAATCGCGATTCAAAATTTTGCTGTTTGGAAACGCCAAGGAATCGTACGATTCCGAGTTGGAATCGGGTTTTTTTTGTTGGAAGCGTTAGTTGCGAACTTCGATCAAAATTATAGAAGAAAAAGATGACATGTCATTACAATTTTGTTAGGCCTAACTGAATTACAGTATTTCTATTATGTATTGGATTTTTGTTGTTTAAGTTTAAAATATTTTTTATATTATTTTATGTTATGTGCTTTATGATATATATACATATATATATATGCTTCCAACACGTACCTACTTCCTAAAATTTTTTAAAAAATTGCCTCCCGCTTCGAAACGCTTCCGCGATTCCGTTTCCGATTCCTTGCAGCTTAGTTCAAAATTAAAAACAAAGATTGAGTTTTGGCCATAATGTATAAACAAAACCAAAGTGGAACTTAGATCTCATTGCGGTTTAATGTAAGCTTTAGATTGACCATTAATTAAGACATTGTAGGATTATCGATCCAAATCTATATAAATTCTCTTATTATGAAGCCACATCATTAACTCGTAGCTTAAAATTATAACACATCGTCAATTTATTTGTTGATGTTAAGTTGTTTACTTGATTTATTGTATTTTGTGTATTTATACTTTAATGCTCATAAAAACTATTATACATTAATATTATCTAGAATTTGAAAATACATGTATTTAATAAAAATAACTGATATATTATTGATCTAACTAAACTCCACTTTAATAATTTTAGTTTCATTAGTTTATTTTATATAATTTAGAAAATATAGAGTTTAGTGTTATGAATACAGCTTTTTCGCTAAATAAAAACAAAGATATGTTGTGAAATATGTTTTGAAACAATTAATAAGGATTAATTCCAAATGAAATAGATAAAAAAAAAATTTAAATCAATTTCTTAAAATATTTATAGTTATAATTTTTTAAGTAATTAATTGTTATTTTGGAAAAATTCACGATATGCTGGTTGATTAGAGGAAAAATAAAATAATGCCTTTTTATTGTTAGAAAATTTGTGTTTGGTCATGAAGACGAGAATAATTCAACAAATGAATAATCACACGAACTTCCAGAAACTTGAATGGCAACTCCAAATTGTAACCATGAGAGGCAAATTGTAGTATCCCAAAATAATAACCTTGTCAAGCCAATCACTGAAAGGATGAACAATTTAAATCCTCACAAAAATTTAAATCCTCACAAAAATTCTCCAACGCTAAGTCAGAAAAAAGACCACAAAACTCGCAAAAAAAATAGAAAAAGTTGAGAAAATAGTGAATGTTATATTTAAATCAAGCCACGATGTGGTTTGTAGTTCAATTTATCGCGATGATGAGTGTGTGTATAAAATAGAGACGTGAATATTTATAGTTAGAATTTTTTTACTAATTAATTGTTTTATAGGATAAGTTGGCGATATGTTGGTTGATTACAAGTGAGTTATAAGAAATCGGTAAAACAAGGCATTTTGATGCTTAGAAAATTGTCTTTTGGGCATGAAGACGAGAATTGTTCAATGAATGAATACTCACAAGAACTACAAAAAAAACTCGAATGACAGCTACAGATTTTTGATTATGAGAAGCAAATTCTAGTATCCCAAAAAAATAACATTTTCAAGCTAATCATTGAGAGGACGAATGGTTTAAATCTTCACAAAAAATCTCCAACGCTAAGTCAGAAAAGAGACATCAAAACTTGCAAAAAAAAAAGAGAGGAACAACTAGAGAAAGATAGTGAACGCTTATGGTTTAACTTGTCGCGTTGATGAGTGTGTGTATATGTTAGAGAGAGAGAGAAAGAAAGAGATAAAGAGTGAGAGATACCGAAAGAAATATAGAGATTATGAGTGCATTTTGAAAATACGTCATATATTTCAGAATGAGATTAATATCAAATGAATGAACATCCTACTTATATTTGAGAATAGTGAAGTATATTTAAGAATAGTTAAGTAATAACAGTAATTCAAAATACAGTGTTAAGAATAAAGAAAGTTATAGAATATTCTAAACCTCCTCTCTTCTTCTTTCTACCAAAAAACATCTCTTCTTCTTGCTTCCAAGAGATGATCTCTGAACTCTTCTTTTATTTTTATTATGTATGTCTTTACAGCCTCTTTTATTTCTTCGTTCGTCGTGTTTGATAAGTTTATAATTGGGTTTAATGGTTCTTTCAAAGGGGATCTCATAAACTGATAGTTAGCTGGCTGGATGTAAGGTAGTTTCTGTTTGGAAGTTTTTCATCTATGTATACACACATACATGGGTTAGGTAACATATTACATGGTTGGGGCAAAAATTAAAATTAGCTGAGCAAACCGGATATCCCATTTAGTTTATATGATAAGATGTTAGACGGACCATCCGTATCAATGCTTAAGTTTTATTAATTAATTGCTTTTGGTAATAGAGATTTAGTAAATCTTATCAAGGATAATAACTATAAAAACACATGCAGTAATGTCCAGTTGGAAAATGGTCATCTCTACAATCGCAACGAGGATAGTATTGGGACTCTTTCATGGCGTCTGCGCAAGTCTTGCTTCCGTTAGGACCACAAACTCCAGCAAACCATTTAGTAATTTCACGCTTATGCTCTTCCGCCACAACTGCATTATACAAACCACAAAATGTTAAACTGTGGACTAAACGTTTAGAGAAACAATTGATAGCATAACAAGTTATAAGCTATTTTCTATTTACAGTGAACAATTTTTGTCATTAATAACGGCGAACATTTTTGTATTGAGCTAGTAAGCAATCAGACTAGATACAGAACTATATAGTACCTTTAGCATGATTACTAATGAAGAACATGAGCACACAAGAAACTACAAGCAAAGTAGAAGACCTCATAACTCAAATTTGATTTCAAAAAAATTCTGTGCTCCTTGCTTATACGTTTTTTTCTTAACCTCGTGATGAATATATTCTTATATCAACTTTGTTAATATATATACTCAACAGTGATTAAGAAAAGATAATTATACTGAATTAGAAAAAAAAAGAAGAAGAAAGTGTGGGGTTAAAATTAAAATTACATTCCTAATAACATGTTAACTAATTTATTTTGTTTAATAACTTTGTGATGTCACATCATCATTTTTAGATTCATTACCTTTAATTAATCTACAAGATTTTCTAACTATTAAATTGCTGATTGCAGATTAATTTTCAAATAACACTGGATTTTTTTTTGTCAAAAACCTGCCACTTGTATTTTTTTGCTAACAAAAAAAAATACTCTGCAATATAACCACAAAATATTTCTATCCAGTAAAATAATTGGTTGGGAAAGAGAGTTTGATTTCTGAAGATTTTTACAGTTTAAGATTCTATTGTTATTACTTTGTAAATTTTTTATATTTTTAATAAATTTCACTGTTCTTCGTTTATAGATTATAATATTCTTTCTAAATCCATTATTATTGTTTTAATAACTTTTAAAATCTAATCAAAATTTATTGTTATTCAAAAAATTTGGATTTTAATGATTATATGATTCTGTTAAATCTAGTGTTAATGGGATATGGATTCTCAGCAATTTAGCTCATAAAATATGATTTTTTGAAATAAATATAAAATTTTATTTAAAAAAAAATTACAATGCTTGATAGATAGAGATTCTAATGTAAGTCTTGTTCCTGGAAATGGTTTCTGCACCGAGCAAATCGAGTGGCAAACACAGAGTAAGGCACTCATCGTAGAATTAGGTCTGGGTTTCCGGGTATTCAGTTTGGTTTTGGGTAAGAACCGATCGAATCTGGTTTTTTGGGTAGAGGAAGTTTTTATCCATATAGGATCTGATTGATGTTCAGTTCAGTATCGGTTCGGATCCACTCATTTCAGGATTGGATATGTTGGTTCTTAAATTTTACAGAAAATATCCGAACTATTTCAGATATCATTCTAATCGGTTTTTTTTTACCCAAAACCAAAAAAAAAAAATGCTCGATACAGTTTATAATAGCCAAAATTTAACCAGAGTACTCGAATCCACAATAATTTTAGCATAACTACATAACACAAACACACAAAACAAATCATAAATTAAAAGCATACAACACATATATCCGAAGTTCAAATTTGATATCCAAAGAACTTTAAAAAGTTTTCATTGTTAAGAAAAACTTTGTCATCAAACGATCAAAGTTCAAACTTTTAAAGATTCAAAATGAAAAGCACGATAGATGGCATTTGTGTTGATACCTCTTAGTTGAATCTCTACGAGAACTCGCCACCACTTATGCGTTTCACTTTCCAGAAGACCACCATCTACAAAAGTACAAAGCATTTCCACCAGAGTCAAATTAAAAAAAAAAAAAAATCATGAAAGATTTTTAGGGAAAGACATATATCCAAATTCCAGAAACCAGAATTGAACACAAACAAACATATATCCAGAACTGAACACTAAGTGAGTATTTGTGAAAACCAAGACGTTTGTACGGAAAGTTCTTCTTATTTCACAATTGACCTAAAGGTCTGCTTATATACACATACATATGTCCATTATAAATAACGTTAAATCTACTACAATATGTAAATATTCCTATTTACAAGCTAAGGAGAATATCTATACGATATTCTTGAATACACCCTCTTAAGTTGGAGCATGTAGATCACGAATGCCCAACTTAGAAATGAACTTATCGAACTCTTTGCGGCCCAGTGCCTTTGTGAGAATATCAGCTAACTGATCAACTGGTGAGACATGTGAAGTGGCGACTGTACCGTTGAGAAGTTCATCGCGGATGTAGTGACAATCCTTTTCAATGTGTTTGGTGCGTTCATGGAAAACAGGATTGGCACTAAGATGTATTGCAGACTGGCTATCACATTTGATGGTCATTGGTCGATCATGTGATATGCCGAAATCAGAGAGGAGACTTTTAATCCACTTGAGCTCACGGAGAACCTCTGTCATTGCCCGGTATTTGGCTTCAGTAGAAGATAAAGAGACAATGTTTTGTTTCTGCGTCTTCCAAGAAACCAAGCTCGTTCCAATCTGAACGATCCATCTATGAACTGATCGACGCATCAAGGGGCAACCAACATAATCAGAATCGCACCACCCTGTGACATGAAGTGAAGATTCAGCTCGAAGGAGAATCCCTTGACCAAGGGTTCCCTTAAGATATCATACCACATGTAAAGCAGCATTCCAATGATCGGTGCGCAGCTGTTGCATGAACTGGGTAAGAACATGTATCAAAAACGTTAAGTTAGTTCGAGTCGCAGAAAGATAGACTAGTCGCCCAACTAGTCGTCGATAACGCTCAGGATCCGAAAGTAACTCGCCAGTAGCCATAGCCAAATTATGTCGTTGAGCTAGCAGAAAACCAGAAGGTTTACAGCCAAGTATTCCTGCTTCGGTAACAATGTCCATAGCATACTTGCGTTGCCATAGATAGAAACCAGATGGACTTCGTGCGACTTCGATTCCCAAAAAATATTTAAGAAAGCCAAGGTCTTTCATGTGGAAGCAAATCGATAAATAAGCCTTGAAATCGGCGATGAAGGAGGACGAGTTCACGGAAATAATAATATCGTCGACGTAAACCAAAACACGAAGAACCAGTCCATTTTTCAAATCTGCAAAGAGAGAGTAGTCAGATCGAGACTGGGTAAAACCAAAGATGCAAAGAGCAGTCGCAAGCTTGGTAAACCAGCACCGCGGTGCTTGGCGTAAGCCATAAAGAGATTTCCGAAGACGGCAGACGCGTTGATCTTTGTCGGATCGAAAACCAGGTGGAGGCAACATATAAACCTCTTCCTCCAAATCGCCGTGAAGAAACGCATTGTATACGTCCATTTGGTGCACTTCGTAGTCTTATTTTGCAGCAAAATCCAAAAATATTCGGACCGTTGACATCTTAGCCACTAGAGAGAATGTTTCATCATAATCAATACCCTCAACTTGATTGTTCCCAAGTACCACAAGTCGAGCTTTGTATCGTTCCAGAGTACAATCAGCGCGCAACTTGATCTTGTAAACCCATTTGCATCCGAGAGCTGCCTTTCCCGGAGGCAATTCCTCTATATCCCAAGTACGATTAAGAACGAGAGCATCATGCTCGAATGTCATTGCGACATTCCAAACCTTTTCTTTTGCCGCCTCTTTATATGATCGTGGTTCAACCACCAAAGATAGAGCCGCAAGAAAACTGCGATGGTTAGAGGAAAAACGGTCACAATTATGATAAGCAGAGAGGGGATGAGCCGTACCTGAGGATACCGGTGAAGCGAGTGTGTTTGGAGTGGAGAGTGAGACTGTATTAAGTTGAAATCCTTGGAGCCGAGTCGACAACTGCTTCTCTCGCAAACCTCGTCCTAATGGTTGTTCGTGAGGATCAGACGATGCTGCAACTACACCGTCTGTGTCCGTAGAGTCCTCCGTGTCGTCTGCATCCTCTGTTTCGGAGTCATGGGAAGATGTGGAACCAATATCGAGCGCTGCACTTGGAACGACAGGTTCCACAGACGGCTTATCATCGTCAATCGGTGAAATAGCTGGCGGGTATAGTGGAGGAGTATCAGTCGCGTCAAGAACTGCTGGAGTCTTTTCTAAAAATGGAAAGACGGTCTCTTGAAAACACGACATCTCTAGAGGTAAAGAATACCTCACGATCAAGGTCATAAAGTCGCCAGCCCTTTTTGCCATAAGGGTAGCCGAGGAACACACATTTTCTGCTTCGAGGGGCAAACTTATCACCCTGATGATCTAGATTGTGAGCGTAACATAAGCAACCAAACACTCTTAGTTGTTCAAACGCAGGAGGACGACTATATAGCAGTTCGAATGGTGTTTTGTCTTTAAGCAGCTTCGATGGTGTCCGATTAATCAAGTAACATGCTGTACGAGCGCACTCAGCCCAATACTCAATCGGGAGTTCTGCCTAAAAGCGCAATGCCCTTGCAACATTAAGAATATGCCTATGTTTCTGCTATATGCGTCCGTTCTGTTGCGGAGTTTCAACACAAGAGGTTTCGTGAAGTATTCCTTGCTCCCGGAAATACTTTGATAAGCACATGAACTCAGTGCCATTGTCGCTTCGGAAAGTCTTGATATCGCGATTAAATTGTCGTTTGACAAGTGCTATGAACTCACGAATTCGAGCAGATACTTCTGTTTTGTCACGAAGGAGATACAGCCAAACCGCACGAGAGTAATCATCAACAATCATTAGAAAATAGCGAGCTCCAAAAAATGCAGAAGTATAATATGGACCCCATAAGTCACAATGAATCAGATCAAAAGGGTTTGTAGCTTTATTAATGTTATCAGGAAACGAAAGTCTTGTTTGCTTAGAACGCAAGCAAACATCACAACTCGAAAAACAAAAATCAGAAGTACTAGAAGCAAAACAAACACCAGGGAGCAATCCCACTATTCGAGCAGACAGATGACCCAGACGACGATGCCACAAAGCTCCCTCATCGCTAACACTTGTCTGAAAAACAGCAGCAGTCTCAATTCCTCGAAAGTGATACAGTCCCTCTCCCTCACGTTCACCCGCTCCAATTAGCATCCTCGTGGTGCGGTCCTGCAAAATCACAAGTTTATCAGTAACTTGTCCAACAAAATGTGTATCAGTAACGAGTTATCCAAAGGATATCAGATTCATGTGAAATCCTTTCACATAATAAACGTTTCGGAGTTCTAGATGAGACGTCAATCGGATCGTGCCCTGTTGGTTAGACAAGACATTGGCACCAGCAGGTAATTTCACCATAACCGGTGAGACAGGTCGTACATCTCGAAGGAGATCAAGGCGCCTAGTCATATGGTGAGTGGCACCTGTATCGAGTATCCAAAGAGGTTCATCGATCTTACCACTCAGACGTGTATTGGTGTTGCCGGTCGGATTGAGGAGCTTACACAATGTTTGCCATTGTGCATCAGAGAAACCGGTGATTCCTTGGC